GTAATGCAAATTGAAGGAAAAATGGTTGGAAATGGAATATTTATAGCTTTATAATTCTTTGTTTTAATTTTGTTTTTCTAAAAAAAAGATACAAAAAAATTTGGTCATTTATCATAAGTGTATATTATATTATAGGAAATTATTTGGAAAATATATATATTATTTTTATAAATCAAATCTAATAAATAACTATACTTTTATTTTTAAATTTAAAAAAGAAAGGCTTTAAATCTGATTTTTATGATAAATATATGCATTTTATATAGTTTGGTTTCGTTAATCAAGGCTGAAATAAAAGAAAGAAATAAATGAATATACGAATCGGAGGGAGGTACTTACAAATTAAAGATTCTATACAAATCGGTCACCATCATTAAGTGTAAACTTTCTAATTTAATCTTATACAATAATTGGATTAAAATTTATCTTGTATTCTTTATATTCATGATTTTTTATGGGAATGTAATTTTTGATTTCTTCTTTATTGTCATATAAAACCCGATATTTTTTATTTGATTTGCCCTAATAAAAATAAGTAATATCAATAAAAATGATTTATAAATGTTTTTTATTTTGAAAATCAATCTTTTTTAAAATAATATTTTTCCTATATTTTAGCCCCCTCCCTATCCTTATTATTACATAATCTTTTTTTGTATTATATATATTTTATAACTTAATCCCAATTTCTATTTTGAAAGATGGGGAGAAAAAAATTAATCAAAATTTAATAAATTTTTGTTATAAGACCATAAAATAATTGATATTATGTTTATAATTTGTCAAACAACCAATGCTATTTTGTATTTATTTAATTTAAAAACTTTGTGATATATAAAAAATATTGATCATTATGTGACCCCAATTTTTTTCTAATAATAATATATTTTCTTTTAAATTTTTTTTATAGAAGAGAGAAAAGTTATCGAAAATTGATAATCTTTGAAAAACCCAGACTAATTAACCCTCATATTTTTAGTTTGAACCTTCTTAATGTCACAAGTCACATATTGGTTAAGTCAGTAACGTTTTTATTAGTCGTGGGCCCAACTCACCTGAGCACATTTTTCTAGACAAATAGAGAAAAGCGGCCTCTTCAATATTTTCGAACTTTAATCTATAATGAGGTCTAAAATACCAATCTTTTATTCCAAATATTATATTATGTATCGGATTTTTATTATTATCCTCCTTTTGCCCATTAGCTAAAAGCTACAGGTGTTTACTCACTTTAGGCTCTATCTCTCAAATGATCCCTGCGTATTTATTTTTTTTGGCCCGATCTCGCCTCTATTTAAAATATAATTATTTTTAAGCTTGAGCCATAATGCGACTCATATTTTAAAATTATTTTTAGACTCAAAGTTGGCCCCATTAGTTTTAGGCCCGAGCTTGATATGAAAATTTTAATTAAACCTATTTTTATAAATATCAAAAATATAAATTATTGCTATCTTCTATTCCTAACTCCCAAAGATCTGTTTTGTTTTGATATTAGAAAAATTTTTTTTTATATATCGGTTCAGGTTTAGATAAAAATTATATTATCGCTTTGTTTGGAACCTGTAAAAAACAGATCGAACTTTTATGTAAAGAGGCACATTTTTTTAAAAATTTTTATCACTATTCCCTAAAAATAAAATTTAGCTATATATAATTAAAATATTCTTCTTTAAAATTATATTTATAAAGGAAACAAAAATTTTTTATGGCTAAGAACACTGCTATCCGATAACTCGACAAATAACAATTAATATAAAAATATCTAAAAGTAGTTACTAATACTTATCAATTATAACTATACTTTAATAATCTTTCAAAAAATTAGGATTTCGGGGGGGGGGGGCAGGGGAACAAATCCCCCCCCCCCCAAAGCCAAAAAATGCAGATGCCGAATATATTTTTCAAAAATATTATTGTTTATATTGTTAATATTTATTCCTATCTCATATTAAATATATATTTAATTACATTTATTATCACATTCATCAACCTAGTTATTTTATCAATTAATTTCGATTTCAAGTTTTTCGGTGTAATATTTACTTATTATTTTCAAATTTTTAGTGGCGTAATATTTATCTAATTTTCAAATTTCTAGTCAAATAATAATTATTCTGAAATTGTCCAACAGGGAGAAAGAAATTGCAACCTTGTCCAACGAGATAAAGTCTCCGCCATCAAGCTGTAACAGCTTTTATGGGGTTAGAAGAGCCGATTTGCTATTACTGAAATATCACAATGGCCTGAAAGAAATATTTCCTCAGAAGCAAGAAAATTATTGGATTCAATGCTTATTCCAAATTTTTTTTCTCATTAGAATGTATTATTTAATTATACAACACAACTTTTATGTATTACTTTTCAAAAACATGACATTGACTTGATTAAGAAAATGAGAAAAGCGGAGAACATTTTATTAGAATTCAAGGAAATTAGGGCTAATGTTGATGAAGAATTTTATATGTTATTGTTAAGTCAAAAAGAGCTATACGAGTTTAATATTTGTCTCCCTCGACTTGCAGCAATGCAAGCTCATAGTTAAAACATTAATATAGGATCAGTATACATTTATAACCCAAAATGAATGGTTTTTATTTCATTATGCAGCACTTACCAATCTGCAAATATTACTTCCATAAAAGCCTTCCCAACCTTTTTCAGATGGTGATATAAAAAAATATTTGTTGGATTTTTATCATGAAGATGTTAAAGTATCTTATGATGCCTTATTAGCTGAATAACTATGTTTATAAGATTAACTATGGTTGATATAGTCCCAAAAAAGGCTATGGATGCTCTGCAATATTTCAAACACATTTTAGATTATATTCCCAATGTATTAAAAGAGTTTATATATATTAGCAACTCTTCCCAAAAGTAAACTAATTAGAGAACACTCTCTTTTTTAAGAATGCAGAGGTGCTATTTGCAGGGCACTGCCCGGATTTTTTTTAAAATTTTTACGGCCTGGCCCGATTTTTTTTTTAAAAAAATTTTTATACCCGGTCCGGCTTTTTTTAAAATAAAATTTTCAGGCCCGACCCGGATTTTTTAAAAATAAATTATATTTATTTTTGATTTTTATAATTTATAAATATGTAATACATTTCAAAAAAAGCATGAAAGGAACACTCACACTTGTTTTTATGTTGTTCTTGCATGTTTATGTTTTTATTTTATTCCTGTTCATAATTTATATAAAAAGATTAATTACTTTATAGGGTTTGTAAAAATATTATATTTATTTAGTATTAAAATTTTATATTTGCGTAAAGCGCAGGATTTAATCTACAGCTAAGATATCCACTTGAACGCCATTTGTACTTGACTTAATAAGAAAAATGCTAACACAATAAAGAAGTACTAATTATTATAAAATTCGAATATATCACGACAGTGTGACGCTTTCGTCAAGTCCGAATGCGACACACCACCTTTAATAGGTGATTATTTTGGATCTTGAATATCAGAATGGACCAACACGACTCGGCCCTAAACGCCTCATTTTTTATTGAGTTTTTCACCTATAAAATATATTTTGTACAAATTGTCAGACTGGACCTTAATAATTATTTATGAAGGAAAAAAACATAAATTTGCAAAATTATCAGCTTTAAAAGCATTATTTAAACATCGGCCCGGTCTGTAAAAATTATCCGGTCAGAAAATTATTTCCAATTGCAAGCCAGTCCTTCAATGACACAATTACATCACTCCCCCCCCCCCAGTGTTAGATGGTCGTGGATTCTGCTATCTTTAGGGCATCTATAGATTAAATTATGCATGCTGACCCTACTTTTGATTTATCCAACAAACATCAATGTTGTATAAAATTTTAAGCAAAACTATTTTCTAAATCTGATATATAAATATAAATAATTAATATGTGCTCTCTTTTTTCCTTACAAATAACATTTTCTAATCCAATATTTTTCAATAACACATTTTTTAATATTAAAATTTTTTTTACCCTTCCACTTAATTACTATTTCCTTTTTTTAAAATTATTTAATGGGCTTTCACTCTCGTTAATATCCTTAATTTTTGAAATGGAAAAAATTTAATGATCCATTTAAATTTGAATTTGATGAATAATTAAATTAATGATTCATATTTAAGAATATTCTTGTAAAACTTATAATTATAATTTATGAGAAACTAGTTAGTTTTCTTTATTTTCTTTTCTTTTTGCGCATATTAAAATGAAATAAGGGATTATTAATAAATTTTATATCTGGCTGATCTTTTTTTAAAAAAAGAGTCGAATCTGAACCCTTAAAAAAGAAGCAGCGCCACGATTTCTCAAATATTTAAATACAATTTTATTTTTTAAATATAAATTAATGGAGTCGCTATTGCTATCCAAAATAATTAATAATGGAAAAAAATACTTTATATTTATAAGGTTGACTCTACCTTTATAAGTGGAGAACCATAATTTTTTTAAATGAATAATAAAAATTTTCTTTTTTAAATAATTAAAGAATCAAAAAAATATAAAAAGACCTATTAAAAGGAGGTCAGCGAAATGCGATAGTTCAAATCCGGGGTGAGTAAATAAACTATGCTGGTCTGAATATTCTCGAAATGTGTTAAACTTATTTTAATAATTAAATTTATTTATATTTCGATCTTTTTGGAGTTTTACGAGTTGGAATCTCTTTTAAGTATCCGTCTTATTTAGGTAATACGTTTGTTTAAAAATCAGAACTTTATATTATATCAATTAGTAAAAACAATGACCGATAATTACCAAGCTTCATAATTAAAAAATTTAACCTAGAAGATTAAATTTCCTGTACTAAAATAGTTTGTTTAAAATGTGCACGGACTAGTCTAAAGATTGGTTTTGATGCGGAATTTATTCAGAATCACATTGATCTTCAAAGATTACAGTCATTTAGGGAATTATTTATTTTTTGTTTTATTAGGCATTTGTTTCACTAAATTTTGTTGACAAATAATAACATGTATTTATGTTTTATAAATTAAAAAAGATTCCGCATTGATAACACCTTAAATATCATAGACGTTGAGTTAGGCGACTCCATTGACTTAGTATGCCCTCAATACCCTGTTCATACAGACCCTATCCGAATTGAATACTACGCTGTTTATAGGGTAAAAAAATATATTTGTTAAATATTTTTATTTTATATTCTAATTTCCAGATATTAGGAAACTACATATTATAATATATATACTTTTATATTACCAGTAAAATATCTCTAACTTAGGTTTTTTGTAATGTGAGCAATAGGTCGGTTCTAAAATAAAATTTTACCTTCAACTAATAATACGTTATCTTCCCCTGGCTCCCTCTCAGAGCCCTCTATTGATTCAATTATAAATTATCTACTGACCAGGGTTGTTGCCTAAGAAATTACCCACTAGTTTCATCCCCTTCTTAAATTTATAAGATCTAATTGCTTTATGTACCCCATGTTTGAGGGTCCTGTCTCATCCACACCTTGTAAGTAGAGATTCTTGTACTCATGTTGTTAGCCAATGTCTTTATAAATTTTTAAACCCGATTTTTTAAAGAAGAATGTATGAAAAGAGGGAGGGGCGGGGCATTTTGCTTGCGAAAAGAAAATATAAAAGAAATTTACATTATTTATACAATTATGATTATGTTAATTGATTTTTTGTTTTTATCAAATGTATACATAAAAGAATAAAATGTAAATTTTGAGAAAACTTTTATAACAAATATTATATTTACACTTCACCTGTTTAAATATATATGTGGAAAAATGTGTGACAAGATAAATAAATATCATAAACAAATAACTTAAAAACTGAATGAATTTAATTTTTTTAAGTATTGTTAACATGGCTACCCCCCCCTCTTATGGACCACTGCCCATATTGTAGATCTGTAAAAATTTGGCTTGGGCTTATTGATAATGTTACCTCCTAAATCTAATACATTGAGATTCATTTATATTTGACATAATCATTTAAAACCCAAATAATTTTTCCACCAGAGTAAACGATAATTTTATATTAAATCTTACCAACTCTTATTGCGAGGCTTTTTGTATCCGATGGCACAAATTTATGACTTATCATTTAAGCGTGATAAAAAGTCGGGGCAACACATTTTTGTGCCTTAGCCACGCTGCTTATGTTTTGTTTTCATATTTTTGTTGGTTACATTTGTTTGTTTTTATAAAAAATTAATATTATAAAAGATGCCTTCATTTAAATTTGCATTCAATAAGAAAATGATCTCCGCCTAACGTAAATCAATAATTGATATCTAATAAATAATTTATTTCTAATCAACTTTGCAAAATCATTTTATGTAAAAATTTAATTAGTTCAAAAGACAAAGAAAAAATTATGATTCTTTTATGAACAAAATGATTTAATGGAAGATTGGATTATATAGATAAAATATTTCAGCGATTTTGGTTAAATCAAATAAATTTAATTTGAATAGTATACCAGTGCCGTCGGTATGAAGGGCGTAAGCGTGCACAGAATGCATTTTTCTGAGAACACCAATATTATAAAATTATTTTTTACTTTTTACACACGCTTAAATGATAGAGCTCTGGCGACCATTGTAACTAAGCAAAAAATCGAAAATTGCCACAATTATATATTTATAAAGAAATATCATTTAGTGTGTACCCTTATATTATTAAAATTTATGAATTTTTTTTGAGTTTTATATAGTAAAGGGAAAAAAGAGAAGAAAAGTATTTTAAAAAGGTATATAAAATTTATGAACCCTTGCTAATTTATTTTTTTTTACCTGCTTAAAATGCAATTTTTGAAAAAAAATTTTTTTTAATCAAAATGTAAAAAATCTATCATAATATAATATTAAACATTATACTGCTTGCTAGCTAACCTATCATTTAACCTTTTTTTTCTGAATTAATTATCTTTTTTTTTAATCAAGCTTCAAAAAGATGATGATAATTATAATATTTATTATTATGTATTATATTATTTATACATATATAGCATGTGATTGTGAATCAATAATCTATTTACATTTATTATTTTAAATGATATATAATGTTTGATCAATTTTCAATATAATAAATATTTAAAATAATTAAATTATTTTTAATAATTATATAATTTTTTATTTTTGTCAAATGAACTATATAAATAGAGAAAATTATTGATTTTTCAGCATAACGCTCGATAAGAATAGATAATAAATAATAATGTCACATTCATACATATATTAATACTATATATATATATATATTACCTTTTATTATTACCTTTTATTTCATTGAAAAGAATGATACTTTCGTGACTAAAAATTTAAAAATATATTTTTCTAAATTAAAATATAAAGGATAAGTAAAGTATATAAAATATACATCCAATTTTTGTTCTCCAATGGTCTTTTGATATAATATCCAGTGAGCGAAGCATCGTGAATGAAAGCAAAAAATCCACAAAGACATTCTTGATATCCCTATATTAGGGATATATTGGATTCTGTTATTTGCCAATGTTAACCGAAAACGATTCAATGCCCACATTTAAATTAATAAACAATATTATAATGATTAAATTTTATCTTTATCTAACTTAAATTATATAGACGTAAGATCAAGAAATACGAAAAATATAATAAATTTGCATTGTTTTTTTTAAATAATATTTAACGACAATCTTCTTTCTAATAAGGTGTTGATATATTATATATCAAAACCCTAAATTTTATAAATTACACGTTTAACAAAAATATTATCTTCATCTTCATAAAGGCCAATATCGGCAATGATCATCCAATGCTATTATAACAGGGATCTGGAATGAACAAACAAGAACGCATCCCTATAATTTTCGGAACCATGGCCAGAACAGAACCGTTATATAAAAGTTTTGGGATCGAACCTAACCGTTATAAATTCAAGCCAGTTCAAAACGGAGGTGGAAAAACTTGTGTAGATAAAAAGAAATTAAAAATTTTTTTGCGAAGTTAATTATCTTACAAGACTATTTTCCTTATTTTTTTTAGTTAATCAAATTAAATAAATCAACCTAATTTTTTTAAAATTAATAGGGTTTTCTTTTTACTTCCTTTAACTTTGTTTCGCCATTATTTTATTAATCAATATTTGTTATATTTGCTATTTGGTCCCTTGTTGATTATATAGATACCAATGCAGCGCTAATTTTTATTAATAGATAAATACAAATTGTGATTATTAAAAATATATTGTTTTTTTTTAAAAAATATATATGAGTATGTCCTCTCCCAGTCTAATTGTTTCGTTTTATTTTAACACTTAAATGTTTTTAAAAAACAAACTATCTATATTATATACCTATGGGAAAAAAAATTCCATTCAATATCAAAATATGAATGTGTCTTTTGCTAAAAAAATGTTAAGAATTTCGGAATACATATAATATATAAATAAATTAAAGAATTTTTTATTCTATGGCATGGTCATAATGTAGAAATATATTTATTAGTATTTTATGATGGATTTGGATTGGCTCTGCAATTTTTTGAGAAGGAGCAATATTTTATTTCAATAAATACCAGTGACCTGGCCCGGCCCGTATTTTAACTTTTTTAAATATACCGAGGCTGGGCTGGGGCTAAAATAATATTTTAAATATCCGGGCAGGGCCTAAAAAAAATTTTTTTAAATACCCAAACCGGGCTCAATTTTCTTTGAAAAAAATTCGGGCCAGGACGTGCAAATGATGCCTTAACAGGTCTTTGGTATATACCTTTCAATCATATTTTTTTTTATATACAACTCATATTATTGATATTGGTCTTAGTAGAATTTAAAATAAAAGATATTTGCAGGTTTATGTTATCAATAATAATATTCTATGAAAAAGTTTTCCACACCTTTTAAAGCTATCAACAAAATAATATAACAAGAAATTGTGTTAAATAAATATTAATTATAAAAAAATACATAATAATTTATAATATCCAATGTCCTTCTAAATTTTCTATTTTTTCCTGTCATATATAATTATATTTTGTTCTTTAAATATTTTTCAAACAATTATTGAACTTTTGTCAACTAAAAAAAGTCCGGAAATTCAATACTTTTTTAAAATAATTAAATACATTAGTTGAGAAGGTGGAGGTGAATTTGAAAATTAAAGAAATATAATAAATTTAATATATTTATTTATTATTAGTTAGAAATGTATAATTGTATATGATTAACTATTTTTTTTTAATATAATAGAAATAATTGAATATTTTAATAATGGTTTCTGGCAACAGACAAATTCAAAAAATGTCAAAATATTGGCAAACTACTCAAACCCTAAACTTAAAATTAAGTTAATAATGAGTTCATATTAATTTTTATTTTACTCATTAATATATGATGAAAATGCTTTTATTATCCATTAACACCCCTCAAATTTCATTTTTTGTAGATTCCTAAATACAATACAAGAAATAAAATATTAAAAAATATTTTTTAATTAAAAGATAACGCATCTTTATCGAAAAAATTCTCAATTTTACACATCCCTCCCACTAATTTATAAATTAAGACATATTATAAATCAGTTTTTTAAAAATTGGTTTTAAAAAAAAATTAACCGATGTTTTACATAATATTTGTTTTGTTTTTCTTTAATTTTATGCATTTTAAAAGATTAGATTTAACTATTAAAATTTACAACCAATCAGTTCAGCGTGTCATAAGAATGTAATTTAAAAAAAAAAACATTATCGAATTGTTACTATTTTTTATGTCTAAATTTACTTTTTTTTAAATTTCCTTAATATTTATTTATCTCTCGCGAAGATTATTTCAAATCGGATAAATCAAAGATCTTATCGTTTTTCAATTGACGGTTTGTTTTAATGATCAAATATCTGATCCGTTTTTATAATATAGGTCTATTGTTTTCCGGGACTCAACCTTCATTAATTATGATATCTTATCTTTATACAAATAAGATGGCCAATCATTTCATGGGTGAAATACTGGAATATATTTTTTAAAAATAATTTTCTTACATCATATTTTAATTTTATCACCAATTTTATACGAATATCAATTTTTAAACATTGACGATGACGATTATATAAATTACTACAGAATTGAGAGGAGAGAACTACACGACTAACAGGACCACTAGAAAAAAACACCTATTCTTTAACCATATGATCGGCTTTTTTATCAAACTAACTATTACATTTATACCTATAATATAATATTTGAATAGTATATTTAGTAACACAGTAAAATGTATATTTTCTTTATTTTTCTTTGTTACTTATACTGATTGATTTTGAATTTACCAAGTAGATCTATTTATATTTGTTTTAGTCTGGATTATATGTTTTACGTATGAATGAAATAATTATTCATTAAAAAAATTAATAAATAAAAATGTAAGTCCTTTTTTATGATAGTATTTTAAACAAATAATTTATTATGATCATTCTAATTAATTAACTAAACCTCGATGATCAAGTTGATTATAAAATTTACCAAAAGAGAATATATTTGGGAACAATATAATACAATACAGCTAATGAAAAGGCCTATTGCAATCGTTGCAAAAGATTAAAAAATAAAGAAAGATGGTTCAATTTACACCTAAATAAAGTGTTTAAATTACTTTTTTTTAAAGCTAATTTTATTGGTAAGAATGTTAAACGAAGTAACATAACAAGAAAAATCTTAAAATATTCTGTTAATATATTTTCTTATGAATTATCTTATATTTTAAAATAATGAATTTTATATTCGTTTTGAATCGGCCTAGTATTCTCTTTGATTTAAATATCATTTCACGTATTTTATTGAATTACAATATCTTTTTTCCCCCCATAAACCTAATATTTTATTTAAATTATGCTAAACATAAATGAATCATTTTTTTAAATAGTTTTATTGCCCTTTTATCAATAATATGTATTCTTTTCTAAGTCATTTCCGCATATTTATGTTTTCAATCGACAGCATAATTTCGACATAATAAGAATGCAACGAATGGACAAAATTACTACTATTATGACTTCTTAATCTTATACCCGATATTTAATCCTTATATATTAGTTCTTAATTTTTTTAAAAAAAAGACAATCTAAATAATATTGTTTTTTTTTGTATAATATCTTTTTTTTTATTATCCAAAAATTTTATGTCCAAAATTTTAAAATAATTTTTAACAATAAATGTCATAAATTTTTATTAATGTATTAATTTTTTAAAAAATAAAAAAAAGGATATAAAAAATTATAATCTTTATTTCAAAATATAAGCAATCGAAAACCATTAAAAAAATAGATTTTAATTTAATTAAAATTGCTTTAAAAATTAGGCTGTAAAAAATATAGTTTTTTGGTAATTTATTTTTTAAAAATTTTGAATTTAAATTGCCTTTTTTTAAAGAAAGTAATATTTGGCAGAAAAATTATCACATCTGCAACCCTACAAAGGAATATATATTTTTTATTAGATAAATTAATTGAGTTTATAGACCTCGATGTCTCCACTCAGAAAAAATTATATTTAAGTCTTGAAATATGAATCCTCTTACATTTTGTCATGTCGGGCATGTCGATTTGCAATGGTACAACTGGTTTGGAAAGGACTATATTGGGATCGGGTAATGGAAATGTATCAATTATATATTTTTTCTTCTTAATAAATCAGGTGACTAAAGAAGAGTACGATTCTTGTCATATAACTTTTACTAATCGGACCATAACGCGCCTTATACTAAATTGTAGTATGCCTACCAAAACTCAGATGTTTACCCTTTCGTTTCGTAAATATTCACCCATCCCTGGGGGCCTCGAATTCATCAACGGAGAAGATTACTATTTTACATGTAAAAAATAATATAATTGGGTTAATTTATCCGGATCGAGCGAAATGGCTCATTTGGGGAATTTATTTTAAAAAATTTAATTTAATGAATCTTTTACTCGAGTCTGCTTGTTATGATCCGACTAAATAACAATCAGACCTGCAGGCCCGGATACAAGTCAGGACCGTATTTTAATTTTTTAAAAAAATACGCGGGACGGGTTTATAAATATCTAAGCTGGGCCTAAAAAATTTTTGAAAAAAATTCCCAGGCCATATTTTAAAACCGAATATTTTAATTCTTTATTATTAGCTATAAAATTAAAAATAAATATGATATTTTTTACAGAAATCCGGGCTGGTTAAATATAAAACTCAAAAAATTTTATAAAAATATTCGGACCGGGCCATGTAAATGGTACTTCTGTAGGTTTCTGATAACAATACTAAATATAATATGAAATATGCATTATTTAAGTAATAATTAAAATTATGAATATGTTATAAATAAGATAAGTCAATATTTGATACTGTAAAAACTCATCGATTTTTTATACAAAATATTTGAACCCTAAAAATCATAACGATTTTATATATTTTTTTAAAAAATTCTAATCATTGTGTAGACTTAAATAAAATATGCAATAGTTTTTAGATACAAATTTATATGCATTTTCCAATAAAAACAATTATAGCGACCTCAACCGGTACTCTAGATGGAATCAACAATTTAGAAGGAGGTCATTGCAATGAACACGCTATGAAAGTCACTTTTAAAGTCGGATCTCAAACAAAATCAAGTAATATTTGATATGTGAATTTTTTAAAATATAAATTTTTTTCGCCAAAATTTCATAAAATGTCTTTACTCTATAAAAATTAAAAATAATATTTCTCAGCCACAATATAAAACAAAAAAGTATGAGAATTGCGATATAAATTTAGTCGATTTTATAATAACACTATCTTCCCTGGATAAAATTGATTTGTAGATAATTGAGGCTAAAGTATATAAGACAAATGGAAAAGGGGTTCTAATTATAATTTTTTTATAAATGATAATTAATCGAGATTAAATATCATTTATTAAACAATTTTCTTAAAATTATAACTTATTGCAGTGTTCTCCGCTCTATATAACATATAATATTTTACCGTACATAATTTTATATGGTCAAAAATGTTAATTTCTTTATAATTATCTGTGTAACCACAATAAGGCAATCACGCCCCTCCAATCTTCAATAATCGTATGAAATCGCAACCCAAAATTTGGCAAGAATCGAAATCTCCACTTTCTATATTGATTCCATCATCTCACAATAATAACCATTACATAAACGATCAAGGCACGCAACCACTTAAAAATCCGAAATTTGATTTCAAATCTGATGTGATCCCACCCAAAGAGCTTCACGAATTATCAAACAGCGATAATGTTAATCGAGCCTATCCTATAGACCCCTCAAGATATTCCAAACTGAATCCCATTCTCAAAAAGGTAAATAACGAGATAACGACTTTTACAGAAAAATTGGCTAAAAACGTGATCGTAAATTTGCAAAATTTCCATAACTTTAGAGACTTTAAAGATCCCCTTAACAGCGAACAAAATGTGAGAAAAGATGGTAGGACCAATGGGTCGAATTCTGATTTGCAGGACGAACCAAATAACAAAGAAAATTATTATTATTCCTACTATTACAACCAACAAAGGAGACCTCCACTATCCAATTTTCCTAACCTTCCAAATTCGTATAATAATCAACCATCGAAAGATGAATATAATCGCAAAACAGTAAACGATCACAATTATTACTATAATAGCAACAATAACCGAAAAAATCCTACCGAATTCGAACAAAATTATCAGAACGTGAACGATAGGACAAATGAGAATAGAGATAATAACGATTACAACAATAAAATAGATAGGCGAGATTCTTTTATGTCATCGGAACCATCGATTTATAGCAACGGTCTTAAAAATGATCATCAATCCCAAAGATCCCTAGCCATTAGTAGTTTTAATCAAAAATCTTTCATCTCATTAACGGCTTCTATAATTGTTTTCTATACCGTAATCACGCATATAAATTCGCTCAATTATATTTTATTCGTTTAAGGAAAGAAATATCGTTTATTACTGATCAGCGAATATAACAAGGGCGCGGAGAGAGTCTACGTTATAAGATTTTTTTAAATAACAGAATTAATAATAAAAAAACTAGTCCCCACAATTAAAATCTATCAAAATATTGTTTAAAAAACATGAGATAAATTGGAACCGCTTTACTACATTTATTGATTAGTCAATTATGCAACAAAAAATTGCCTCCCCTTCTACTAATAAATTGTGAGAGAAAATTTTTTTAATAGAATGTTTTATTATAACTTTAATACTATTATTAGTATGTTACTAAAATATATAATAAAGGAAATAATTTACTGGACCCATGTCGTTAATTCTTAATGAAATAAAGTGTTAAGTTAATCAAAAAATAGATATTGTAATAAAGCTTAAACAAAATCAATAAAAAAATATATATTGATATATTGTGAATTTTTTTTAAAAAAATTGTTTTTTCCACGATTATACTCATAATTTCAACAAAAAACTCATAATAATAATATTTTTTGTTCCTATACTGTTACTCATCACTATAAACCAACATTTAAACCAGATTCAATCACTATACTAAAATACTTCAAGTTCGGGCATCAAATTTTTTAATAATAAATGATTGTAAACAATTATGAACTGTTTTTATCAACCATATTTTATACTATTATCCAAAACATTTTTAAAAAAAATAATATAATTCAAAATGTTCAAACCTGTATGAATTTTTTTTATTTAAAAAAGTATATGTAATGTAGATGTACATATTATTATTATAAATATAATTAATCAACAAAATAAATCGAATTTTTTCTCGAATAATTTATTTGCATGACTGTCTCCCGTGTCTTTCGTGTGAGTGTTCTTCTAAATATTTAGCAGATTTGTAAGAAATAATTCCATTAGGCTTGGTATATCTGAGGCTCTGATTTGGAAATGTGTCATCCATATTGCCTATTGAAGTATAACTTATATATTTTTTTAAAATAACGTCATAAACCAAAATATATTTTAAAAAAATAGATATTTTGAAGATTATGAATATTTCAAATAAAATCAAATTTGAAAGTTTTACTATTTAAATAATATAAATGTATGATCAGTGCCGTAGCTATATTGAATGGGGCATTTAGGAGCTAGTACATCCCTCAGAATTTTGTGCAATTATATTTTAAAAATAAATTATAATTAAAAATGAACAAAAAATATTATGAATTCGTATAGAAGTAATTTTGGCATAATATAGAATAAGTGTGCAAATTTTCAAATTACGAGCAAACTAAATTTTAATAAAGCTAGATATAAAAGAGACCTGCAAGCCCGTTCCGAAGCCTCAAATTAACAAAATTTTAAAAATTCGGAAAGGTTCTTAAAATTAATTTCAAAATCTACAAATATTTATATTTCACAAAACCCGAACCAGGCTAAATTTATTAAAATTAATTTAAATTATATAACATTCATTTATTTAAAAAAGACATGCTGGGCCTAATAACTATATTTTTGCAGTATATAATTTTAAAATAATAATATAAAACAATAAAGTAAAATAATTTTGGTCATATTTCGATTTCTATTAATTTATAAAAAAAAGAGATTCAATAATTTAAAAGATTTAATATTTAGAAAAGATTAAATTATTAGATATGGCATTACTGCAACCACGAGCGGCTGGAAAATAAGAGGTTTAAAAGAAAATGGTGTGAATTTATTATAATGTTATCATCGAAGCTCTCAGACTAGATGATATTCAAATTCCAATAAAAAATGGTTAAAAACATTAAGCTCGTTGAAAGTGATATATAGAAGGATAAATTTCTGACCATCTAAAAGAAATTTATGGTCACTAAAATCATGGAAAAAGCGTTAGATGATTGCATTAAACTATGCAGTGTAGTATTCAAATATAAATCTTGGAAAACTAAAATGTTAAGTTCTTTTCTTACATGATAGCAATATAAGAGATTTCGAACTTATAAATAAAATTGAGTATTTTAATATTCAACTGATGGATAAAAAAAGGATGAATGTGATCAATGGGCATTTAAAAAAGACAAAATTGTAGATCACGGATAGGTATCCTCATGTTATTTAGTAAAGTTAGGTATTATTAGAAAATAATGAAACGAGCAAAGATTTAATAATATGCTAGTGAACGTAGTCCTAATCAACTGTTTGTGAAAATTTAATTAAATGTTTTTATGATAGTATAAATATATTTTGTATATATATTAAGAAATATACAAAATTTCATAAATAAATACATATTATTAAATTTGGTAATATTTTGATTCATTCTTGAAATACTGTTTCGTTTTCACTTACTGAGGTAGTTTTTGGTTCAATTGATAATTCACTTTTATGTTTTTAATTAATCGTAAATTATTATAAATAACATAACTAATCTTTCCGTAAGTTTTCAATTGATATCGGTTCTAGTAGAAATATTCCCCCAAATGGACCAATTTCTTTTTGAAGAAGTTGAACTTAAGGGTTGCTACTACCCTTATAGGGCACTGATAAAGTCCCTTCCACAAGCTTGATGCGGATCTGAATAATGGTTATGGAAGCCTACCACATATTTTGTTGTTCAATGATACCATTTTTACACCGAAAATTTATTATATCACCTAAGATGGCTTGATTGTCACCATCTGCAGAATTTCTAGTTCTTTTATCTCATAATCTCCCTCGAATTCATTATTCGTGAGATGTTGTACTTGATATTGGTGATCTAATAAGTAAGCAGCATATCATTTTTTCTTATTTTAAACATTTATAAATTTTCTTCTTCAGATGGAGAATCTCATTTTTTACTTAGGGATGAAGTGCATTTTTCCCTTTGAATTCTTAACAATAACATAGCTAGCGGTTTAATTAAATTTATAAACTTTAAATTTTTTATCTACCATATACGATATGAATACTTATTTTTATTGAGCATATATCACAAACAGTTTCATCAACGACGGGCTCTTTTGCAAATTTGTATTTGTTATTCATTTTATTGATGAAGCTACCTCGTTAAACTAATCATACTTAAAATAAATAATATGGAATGTTGATTTCTGTAGCGGGAAAATACTGTACTTGGTGCATGGTTATTTTTAAAAAATTTAACAATTTTTTTAATAATAGATATGTATGAATTAAAAAACTTTATTCTTTCAAAATCCAGAAAAAATAATTGTAATGTGCGCGCGGCACATCCATAAAATTGAATATGATTAAAGGCTGATTTGGATTCTAAAATTCTCCAAGCAGTTTTCATTAGTTGTATTATCCATAATTAAAGAATATTTTGTAAAATTTAATTTTTTTAATTATTATTAAATTGCTGGGAAATATAACCTGTAGTATGGCGATTTTTTCTGGGTAATTAAAAATTTATAAAATACGGGAACCCTTGTCATTACCATAAAATTTATTGTTTTCATTTCGGATATTGCTCCACCCATCTGAATCAATATTTAAAGGGGAATTTTAATGTATAATACTCGCAACCTTCACTTATATATTTTCAAAAGCTTTATGGAAAGATCCCGTCAAATGTCTTCCCCATCTAGCTATAAATAGGGCGTATTCTATTAAAAAATTCTTTTATAAATGGATTTTCAGTGATAAGAAACGGTAAATTGCTAGCGAACTAACATTTCATCAAGTTTTAATTTTTCTTTGATATTTACCCTATCTATAAAACCTTTTATACAAGATTCTTTAATTTTATTATTTATAATTTTAGATCGGTCAGTGTTTGTTATGAAGAACTCCAAATTAAATTCTTGGGAAGTACTTAGTAATTATATTTCTTACGCAATTCAATTGATAAACAGGTTCATTAAAAAAATACATGATAATTATATATTTATTACGCAATTCAATTAAACAGGTTCATTAAAAAAATACATAATAATTATATATTTAATCAAAAATATTAAAATAACATTTATGAGTATTTGATTGGTTAAATTTTCGGAAAAATTACCTATTTGACTGGCTTACCAACCCTGCAATCAACTATTTGAAAAATATGATGAGAAGGAAAGGAATAATTTCCCTTTTAAATTATCTATAAAATAAATTTAAAATGACCAAATATTAAAAATCTGAGTTATGCCATAGGATAATCAATAAAAATCTGGATAATCAAATGTTTGGATAGAAGTTGGAAAGTAAGAGATTGAAAGATCTAATTTAAAGAGTTTATGATCAATAATACAGAGAAAAGACTATAAGCAACATAAGATATGTTGCCACTATAAAGGTATTTAAAGAATATGTATATTTACCCTTTATCGTATAAAATGCAGTAAGGAATACTATTGTAATTAATAAATTCCCATATATCTTTGTAATCCCAATCTAAAAGCGGGTTTATCCTCATATAAGATGGCCAATCTTTATCCGTTGGACTGAAAGGTGTCAATCCATCTATCATATATTTCAATAAATTATATATAAATATAATAAATTGGTAAATTGTGAGATGCATTTTTTTAAAAATGATTAAAAAATTATATTTCATGTACTACTTGTTCAATTTGAGTATCAAACTAATTCTAGCTTTTGTCAAGTCTAGTCTATGTAAAATAAATTTAATTTCCAAATTGGGCAAGTATATGAAATTTATTTTAAAAAAATAGTGTGGCTCATAATTTCCGTCATTTATCACAATATATATCTGCATAATAAAGATTGAATGAAGGCCTAGTTCAAACTAAGTGAAATGACCATCATTTTGATGATATTTTGCAATAGCTGTGAATTTAACGTATACAGGATTGGCATATGCTAGTGTTTACAGGCAAAATTAGGTTAATTTCACTTAGTTTAAGCCATGCTTTAAAAAGAAAGAAGCAAAAAATATAGAAAAGGTAGAAAAGTAAAATAAGGAAAAAGGATTTTAAATATTTCAAGGATCCGAACTGTAACGAATATCGGTTCAGGTTTAAGATAAAAATAACGGTGGTTTATGGTTTGGTTCAAGTTCTTAAAAAATAAATAGGTTCAGTTTGAACCTTTTCCGCAGAATTATGTAAAGAAATGCATATTTTTTTAAAATTTTATCACTATTCTCTAAAAAATAATAAATCATATTAAAATATGTTCAAGATTCTCTTCTGCCAAATTGTATCTACCAGAAGATATAATAAATTCTATTGCTGAGGAGATCTATAAAGCAGTTGGCATCGTCAAATGGCAATATGCAAAAAAAAAATCTAAAAATAATTACCTTATAATTACAAAACTGATTATTAATAATAGCTAAAATAATTAAGAAGAAGGTTCAACCCTTTTAGCGGTTTGTTCTTCAGGTTCGGTTCTGTAAATTAATAATGATTAGATTTGGATCCCTGAAATACTTTAATAGCAAAAACACAATAGTCCAGGCGCGGGACCAATATTTTGTTTAATTACAATTTTTTAGAGATTTATCTTGGAGTGGTAGATTTATATATAACCTATTGAAAATTTATATAATAATAAAAAAAAAACACATCGCATATATAAATGAATGCACAAAATATGGTTATAAAATATTAAATGTGAAACATATAAAAATATTTATATCAAGAGCACAAATATATTATATAATAATAACAATGCATTAACACAATAAGTGTTGATAAAATGGTCCATTTATAGCTGACAAAAAAGTCTATAGATGACAAGTGTGCCACATCAGCTTTGAGTGGCTCAAACTTAAGGAAAGCCAAAAATTCACAACTTGTATGAGATTTTATTTAATAATGCCTACTTACCAACACTACATATATAGCATGATGATGAAAAAAGGACTATCGATCAAAATACTATACTATTTAATAGATCAATCTATTTAATTCAAATGTAATTAAAGATAAAATAGTAAAAATTGAATATTATGGGCAAGATACTTATGAAGATCTGCAAGTTAGTATTATATTGATCAATTTATGTAACTAATTACAACTTGTTAAGATAAGCCCAAAAATTTTATATTTCTATATCTAGGGACAAATATAAAAAATTCTCAGCTGGGTGGGACTAGTTGTTATGTCACTGAAATTAGACATGCTCATCATTATATAGGTATAAATTTAATTTAAAAACTTGTATTAGGATCACTCCTTCTAGTACCCATAAGAATGCCTTCGATAATTGGGTATTGATGTTTTAATTGCAACAATGAATGTTTATAATCGTTTTCAAATATGGACAATTTTAATTGATATCTTTTTAAAATAATTGATTCACAAAATTTTAAAATATTTAATCAATTAATAATTAAATTAATAACAAATCAAATATTTGATTTAAAAGAGATGCTCACTGATACTATTTTTTATTGTCAATAATGATATTGATGGTATAGGGGTAATGTCACCAATATAAAAACATTAATAATTATTTAGCCATATTTTATTTAAATTTTTTTTTAAATATATACTAAAGTGTTGTTACTTTTGCTATAGCTGCAATTTAATTGATTTTATTTTTCCATTTAAATCAGTAAACCATATTTAATAAATTTTAAAAACTTATCTTAATTTAAAAAATAAAACTAAGGAAAGTTTAAAATAATCTAAATGACAATGATGAAATAACATATTAATTAAGAATTTAAAATTTTTCCTTCATAAGTGCCAGGCTAATAGAAAATATAAAATTTTTATTTCTTATATGAGAATGTAAATCATTTTATAATAATGAAATATCAATTTGAAAAAGCACATAAGGGAAATTTTTTAATTTAATAAAAAATTAAAATGGTTTAAAGAACTCTAGATTTTAACTAAATTATAAAAATATTTAATATAGTTGGGAAGAAAATATAATTTTTTAGTGCATTACATTGAAAGGTGATTCTTAACTAACCTTAGGGTTGAATAATTTGGTATTGCTAAAAAATAAAAAGTATCAGCCAATACTGATATTGATGATCAATGCATTTCCGATTTAATTAGTTAAAAATATTATATATTCTTCAATACCTTTGACTGGTTGTGTAAATAAATTCCTCAGCTTCTGGAAAAGGCAGACTTTGTCTAATATATAAAGCTTGTAAAGGCTTACCTTGATGTAAATTGGGATCAAGATCAATCTTTCCTTTTCTAATTATTAAAAAATAGCGATTCAATTTTTAAATATAATTTCATTAAGTAAATTAAATGTTTGATTATGAAAGTTACTTATGTAAAAAGGCATACCATAAATGCAATAACACGCAGCAATCTTTTCCACCATTAAAAGCTATACACAAAGCTTCAGGAAATCTATTTAACAAAGCATAAATAATGTAAGCTATGTGAAATTTATATTATTTCACACTTGTATAAAATTAGAACTTGTTCTAAAATTGAGATGGAATTCGATAATTTATTTCTAAATTTTTCATTTAATTTTGGATCATTCACCATCTCATAAACAAAATTGCAATCCAATTGAATTGAATGTGGAATAAAATTATTAAAATTATCACTGGCATAAGTATTTTGTGAATAATTTTGTGCTATTGTTGGTGGACTATAGCTTAATATCGAGTCTATAATAATAATATAAAAACAATAAAAGATATTTAATACCTTTTGGGAGTTCAGAAAGTAAATTGTTAACTGCTTTGTTGAATAAAGTTTCATCTGGAGAAAATATTGTGATTTTAACAGTAAACTCTCTTAACATCAAATAAAGAAATAAAGTTATATATAAATATACGTATTGTTTAATTCTGGATAGGATCCAATTTTTAGCTGTCCATCAGATGAATATTTGTTTATAATATGTGATAATGTATCAGCAATAATAGTTTCATCAATATTCTTAAGAAATATTGATTTTAAATAAAATTTAGGAAGAGAACCATTGTGTTCAATATATAATACCTCCTATGAATATATATATAAATTGGGAGTTTTTAAAAAATAACTTTAAATATTTCAAATGAATTTTTGAATAAATCTGGAATACCAGGTAGGATATATACATTTTCAAGAGAAACTAAGGGAAAATTATTTTTACAGGGTGAAAAATGCAATTTTGCTAATTTAGGAATCTAATATGGACATAATTAAAATTACAAATTGTGCAAATAATATAATAGAAACCTTTGCCATTTTAAAATATGAAGAATCAATATTTTTGTACTGTGGTTTAAATTTTCTCAGAAATTTATAATACAAGTCATTTAATTGAACATCTTGATTAAACGCTTTAGCTACCCCTAATTTTTTATGCTATATATATTTGTAATACCAAAAAATAACCTTCATATGTAATATCATCATGAGTAGGACCTATTCCTCCACATGTTATAACATAAGAAAAAGATTTCGAAAAAGTTTTCACCTCATTGGCTAAGTCAATAATATTATCTCCTATCGTTGATATCTATTTATAGATATAATGAATTAATTATAAAAAATATTAAAATATCACTTTAGACAGAAATATTCCCATTGCGAAAAGTTGTCGACATGCATAAAACGAATTTTCATCTTTAGTAAGGCCTTTAAGGATTTCATCTCCAATAACTTTTGTGGTATATCGTATAAAAGGTTATTAAACTTTATTTACCAATCAATCCAGCAGTCACTTTATTTTTAAAAATTATGCCTGAATGTAACATGTTTTACTGAAACACCAATTAAAGGCTCTTAAATATTGCCCGGTTGATTCATCGCCATAATTATAATTACAATTTGCTAAAATATACCCAAAGCCGTGCTAAGATTTTTGCGGTCTAAGTTGAAAATTTTTTTAGCGGTCCTGCAAAACTCCTGAATTTAAGCTTTTAAAAAGATGATAAAATGACAAACGACGTCATTTTAAAAATGGGATTCTCGAAAGTTCAGCTAAAAATTTGAATTCGATATATTATAGTGAATATAAATAATTTATAATAAATTACAAATCAGCAAATATATATTTATAACTTAATTATTAGCTATTATGGATAAATTAAAAAACAGTATAATATTTTAATTATATAAATCCTATTAGAAATTTAATATTTTGCTGGTAAAATATATATGCATCAGATAATGAGGTAGGAAGACCCAAAGTCTAAACAAATTTAGTCTTCCTAATAAATATTGGGTATTGTTCTAGAACTACCACGGATATATAATTCATAAAATTATTCTATTTAGAATTGAAAAAAAATAACCTTTAATAAAAACTAAGAATGAATTTTAGAAATGGGATTATTAATTTAATCTTTTAAAAAAATTATTCGAATATTTAATTTTTTAAAATTGATTCGAAATATACTCTATGCTAAGAGTTGATTTTTTGTATGACTCCATTAATTTTGAGATTGGCGTGGCAGCTATTCTACCTCTTCATCCTTTCTTTTTATTCTCTCAATATTGAGCTAGAGGTGGCTGATTAAAAATAAGAATTTATATAATTACTATAAATTGATAAACCCGAAGCGCTAAGGAACGCTTGGTTACGTGTTTACTAAAATGATTTATATTTTAATCCGATGAGAATGTTATATAACTTCATGATAAATATTTAAATTCTAAATCAAATTCAATTCATACTGGTAAGCAGCGTCTACATCGAGGAATTGGGGGAGGGGGGTAGGTTCATTTGTTTCCAATTTTGTTAATGGGAGTAGGAGTAGTAATCGAAAAAGGTAGATTAGGATGGCAGGATAAAAGTCAATTAGATATTTAAATGTAATACGGCAAAATATATTGCTGTAAAAATTATTTAATGCTTTTATTATAGTCCTATTATAATATACATATATTGCTAAATATCGACCAAATCTTCAAATAAAAATTATTACTACATAATATTCTGCTATATATTTAAATGAAATGTAAAAGTGTTAGACATACTATCAAAACTCATATTCATGCCAAACAATACACTATAATAGCGAATTCATCTCAAATAAGGGAAATATATTTAATTCATTTCTAAAAAATTCTTTCACAATCACAATTTATTTTGAAAATTTGTAACAGAGTATTGATAATTTGAGTTATTCATTTTAAAATAAAAGAGGAATTAGATTATGTTATGTTCTATCTCCCCACTTGTCCCGTATAACTTATTTCTTTTCTTTACGTTTTTCTCCACTTGTTTCTTTTTGTTTTCCCATCTTCCTTTTTTTTTTGTTATGAAATTGATATTATACCTTATTTTTATATTGCATTTGAAACTGGTTCTAACCAGTTTCAAAAATGTTTGTATCGCGATTATATAACAACCTTTTTTTTCTCTTTGTTTTAAAAATTATAAAGGTTGGAAAAATACCTTTTTCTAGAAAAAAATATTTCCTTTTGATTGTGAAATTTATATACATTTTTTTTGATTAATTATTGGATGATTTTGATTTTTTTACTTTGTAACATCGACTTTAAGTTGTTTAATAAACTTTGAAAATATTATTTCCACTACGTTGTCCGATGGATTCCATGACAAAATCGATAAAACCCGGCCCCCTGGATCCCGTCATCGACCATCCCGGATCCCCGATCACAGACTGTATTTTTTCCCACCAGACTGGTAACACTGAGATGGGAAAACAAAAGAAACAAGTGGAAAAAAACGTAAAGAATAAGTTATACGGGACAAGTGGGGAAATAGAACATAACAGATTACAATTAAGATCTTGTAATTAATAAAGTGGGAATATCACCCCTTGCATCTAATGAATATTCTGATATGTAGATGCTGCTGATAAGTAATTATTTAATTATTGATTAATTCTTATTATATTTTTGAATTTATTGATGCTTATAAAATTTTGATACGTACACTTTTTATTACCAAAAGTTATAAATTTCAGATTTAAATATTTATTATGAAACCGGGGTAAAACGATTTGTATTTTGCCTCTTTCCCCATATAAATTTGAAACAGAAACAAAATAGAAATTATTATAGATCTATATATAGCCAAATCCCTAATCTACAAAATAGAAAAAAGTGTAGCTCTCTAATTATAATACTTTAGGAGCTATAATTAATTGTAAGAAGTGTGCCATTTTTGCCATTTCAACCAACACCCAAGGTAAAATGGACAAGCATCAGGGTAGAGTGGTTAAATTAAAATTGAACATAATTTTATTGTTTAATTAAAGAAAATATTGCACTTTTGACATCTAAATTTTAACTAATTAATACAATACGGGTGTAAACAACTTTTTCAAAAATAGCACATTTTGAGTTTATGCATTTTAGGCACATCGTACATTTTAATTACCCTTTGAAACTATCTTTTAAAAAAAATTCAAAATAATACAAACTATTTATTAATATTCCTTTTACCCAAAAGCATCTTTTTAAATTTTAAACCTTAATTTTATTCTCTTTTTGCAGCTTTTATCTGATGAAATATATAAACCGTTTTACCTATAACAACTTTACCTATACTATAGGTGATATTATAAAAATCGTCATTGCGTGATTTCTATTTAAGTTTTAAACTTCCGATTGACCTTAGTCATATTATCTGTACCTGGAGTCCCTCAACTTCCCTTTCATTTAAAACAATTTGCTCACATTTGCTAAAAAAAAGCCATTAGAGAAAATGAAAATATTTATTTTGGTAATATTTTCTTATGCAGATCCACTCATACCCTCTAAACTAAACCATAATGTTATAAACATGCTAACCCTGCAAATCGGTTGAATATTCTTCTGCGTTTATTTCCAACCAATCATATCTTCAACGCTGACTTTCTTTGGCATTCAACCCTAACCTTTTTTAAGGATCTAGAGCATCGCATTATATCTAATACCGAATATCCAAACGAAAGCTTTTACCTTCGACAAAGAGTCGAAATTAATAATAGCGCTTACTAAATCAGTTTCATATTTTCTATCTGTTAATGAATAAAACATTCATTAATGTATAATTTCACGTCACACCACCCCACCTTTCCAACAACAGCCCTTATTGTATCATTTTATACATAAGATCCTCCAAATAAACTAAACTCTAAAATTATTTCCATATTCCTCCTTGCACAAACTTATAAACTTTATATTAAAAAAATAAATAATGAATATAGCTATATGTTATATGCATAATGTATTGATAATTATAATAATATTTTGTGCTTTTGTTAATAAATTGTTATATATTTATAAGAATTAATATATGATCTATTATTTATGTGCTTATACGCCATTAGTAATTAATTGTTTATAAAATATTATTTTTACTTTTTTAAACAATCATATTTTTTATAACTGAGGCTTCCCCGTTTAAATACATTATAAGCCACACTAAAAACCTTCTGGTGCGCTGGAAGGTATTATAGTGTTCGACACTCATTTTTAACCATGACTCATTTTTTGAATGATAATTTATATTGATAGGTGGTAAAATTTATATTTTTATCCACGTACACTCCGGGGGGGGGGGGGTGGAAAAAATATATTAGATTTTTCAATTATTTTCCGGAATTAGTATCATTAGGAAACTTTAAATATTCATCGACTAATCCCTTTGTTAATTTATTATATTTTACTTAAATTTTCAGATATTTTACCAAATCCAATAAAATTTTAAAAATTTACTGACTATGTGCTGTATGCTCCTTTAATTATCTAAAAATATATGAGACTATTATTAATACCATTTATCATAACAGTCATTTATTGTGCAAAATTCTCTTAGACATTAATAAATTTAATATGAAAAGTAGGATTAAATTTAATTTTTATTATTACATTACTATATTTTTTTAGATAAAAAATATTATACTTTATTAAATAAATCCAAATTTCTATAAAAAATAAAAATAATATTGTTGTTATCTATATCAAAATTAACATTATTTTGAATATTAATATTATTGTTATAACTATTCTAATTAATATTTAAATTTAATTTAATTCTTTTTATTATTATATTATTTCAATTAATATATTTTAACGTTTAATTTGTTTGACATTGTTTTTTACATTCAAAATAATTGTAAAACAAATTATGTATATTTAAGAAAAGTATTGTATTTTTATTAGTATTAATTAGAGATCTGCAAAGTTCGGGCCTAATATTTTTAAAAAAATTTCGGGCCCGGTCGGGTCGAACCTTGGAAATTTTATTAAATATATCTAAATTTATCAATTTTATATTGAATTTTTTATGTAAAATAAAAAATTTTGATTTAATTTATTGAAACTAAAGGCTATATAACATATGTCTTTTATTTTAAGTAATTATAAAAATTTATTTCTATATTTAAATAAATTCGGGCCTGGCCGGGGCGGCTAAACATTTTAAAAAAATTTCGGGTTTGGGCCGGGCCGGCAAAACTTTTTTAAAAAAAATTTTGGGCCGGGCCGGGCTTGAAAAATTAGGCCCGATGCAAATCACTAGTATTAATATTGTATAATTAAATTTCTTTTTGGTATTAATAAATTACTATAAAGGTTGGCAAACTTATTTCTCGCCAAAGTCTACACTTTTATAAATGGATATTCGTAAGAATAAAAAAACATTATTCGATTCGTCGAATATTCCATTCGAAATTAAATTAATTAAAAATATTTTCAAAAATTAAAAAATCTTTAAAAATTCTTTTAATAAATGAATTTAAAAAATTTTTTATTTTTAAATTTGTGATTTGATCTTGAAAGATTTTTTGTCCACAAAAATTATAGAAGTTTTACCTATAAAAGATTTTTTATTAAGTATATATGGAATGATCAAAATTCTTTATTTATTAAAAAAAATTCAAAAATTTTTGCAAAAAGTAATTTATAGATGAAGAAATAAATTAAAAAAATAAAATGTTCTGTAAGGAACATGTTTAATACTTACAAATTGTTTGAAATATTTATGAATAAGTTTTAATATTTACGAATAGTATCGATTATCTACGAATAATGTCGAAAATATACTATAAATTTTGAATGATATGAAAGATAAAATTATACGAATAATTCGATCAAACAATGGGTAAAAATTATTCGACGAATAATATAAACTGCTTGCTTCTTCTTAGGTTTCCACCTTAATCTTTTAGTTAAGTAAGAATGAGATATAAAAATAATAATTTGTTCAGGTCGAACCAGGTACGAGACTCAGGCTACCCCACTAATACTAAATATTATGACACAAAATCCTATAAAAAATATCGCCAACAAAGCCTTAAGCATGGATCCATTTTGGATCTTATAATTCCTGACACCATTAATGTAAGAACCAATGATTTTACAGATAGTCTTTTATAGAAAAATGAAAGAGAATTAATTATACATTTTTATAGTGAATTTATAAAATATACTTGTTTTGTTATTATCGAAATAAAATTGACATACTCAAATCAGGCGGAGGTTTTTTGATAAATATGTCACCCGCAATTGGGGATAATGACTCATAGGTCCATTCCAGTCTAGTACTACAATAATTTATGTCACTGGGCCACCTGTACAAGAGCATAATATTTAATTAGCTAGTATAATTAATTCTACGGTAAATATAAAAAATTAAAAATCATATAGAACTTTTAGATTTTTTTAAATTAATTTTGAAATAATAATTAGACTTGATTCTCCTGCCTCCTTATTAAATTTCTTGGTAGGCGTATATTATATTATTTTTGAATTGATACTTTAATAGATTCTACTTTCAAAGATTAAATGTTCAGCCTAAATAATCAAGACAAAAAAATTTTAAATTAGATTTTGTTCTAATTTGATATTTATTCTAAAAAAGGATAATTATAAATTTATATTAATATTTTTAAAAAAAAATCTAAGTTAAAAGTTTACTAGCATACATTAGTTAAAATCTTTTCTTCAAATGTTCAATATTGGCAAGAAAAGGCCAGGTATATATTTTTTAATTTAAAATTATATATATTTGTTTGCTCAATTTTTCTTAATACAAGATATAGATTATTCTAAGTTCAAAAATACCAGCTTAAGCCGCTAATAGGTTTGATAAGAAAAAAATTAATATAGCATAATGAAAATAAGAAAAGGACTAAAAAAATGATATAAAACCATTTCTTATGTTTAAAATAGACACTTATATTTTTAATAATCAAATACGTGGCATAGCATTATTTAGGTCTTTATTTATAGTAAGCGCGATGATGGTCAAGAAATACTTAATTTGTGGCTACGAACATACTTGTATAATTTAACATTATGTATTATAACTTTATCAGCACGATGAGATGTCGCACTATTATCGCGGTATATAAGTGAGGCCTTACCCTGCGTTCATAATTAATGGAATTCGCAGTGAAGTATACAAAATATGGTATAAATAAAAATATAATACTCTTGCATTAATTATTTTTATACCTCGCTGCGAATTCGCGCTAACTGAATGCAAGGTTAGGCCGCATTTATAGTATGCGTAGCAACGTATTTCGTTCATTTTGAATAATTCTCTCATCGCAATAGAAAGCGATGCTCTATAATCGCGCTTATTATAATGCGCAAGAAAAATGTTTTGCTAAGATAAAAAAATATTTTAGGCATGCAAAAATTAATTTAGGCGTGTTAAGCCCAAGCACATTATTGCTCTAATATCGACGCGACTATTTTAATTTACGAATATTTTTTTACCCTAGGTATAAATGTTTGCACATCTACCTCCGACACTAATGATTTAACCGATAATGACGATTATGGATCGGCTCATACCCAACACGACCCTATTAATGTGGTTAAAGATTCAGGCTCTACTAATAATATGATGGCAAAATTTGTTGCCAAAAGTAAACAATTTAACCTAGTTCAATCAGAGCACTCTAGACTTAAAACTTCCATAGAGGGAATTACTCGAGAGCTGTACCAGGCTCAGGCCCAGATCATATCATGTATTCGGCAGAAGAATGAAATGCAAAAGACTGTCACTGACAAAGAAAAATTGCTTATCAAATGCAAAACAATTCTCTCTGAAATCAAAACTGAACAAGAATCGCTAAAAATGGCTAATAGAAAGTGGTGGGCTGATAGGTAATATTAAACTATTTAAAATTCACAAAACTTGAACTAAAGCAAATGTGACATACCCCAATTTTAACAATAGTATAAAATTTAATTTTACAAAAAATACAGGTTCAGCGCACTTGACAGTTTGAGATATTTTCAAGATAGAATACGAGTACGGGAAGCCATTATCAATAGGAACGAGAAGGAATACAGGGACATTGAGGAGCATTTAGAAAATTATTGCAAGTACGAGAAAATCTTAATCCAAGAAATTGATCAACTGGGTAAATTGAGATTGAAAGAACTAAGGGAGAAGGAGGAAAAGGAAAAGCTACAAGAAGAAATGAGAAGGAGAGGACAAAAATCCGATTCAAGGATAGGTTTAAAGAACTTTCGGCATAATAAACAACAAGATAGAAACCACTCTCCCTTCAAAATGAAAAAAGCTTATAGCGATAAAAATGATAAAAGTACTGTAGCCGGTCTTTTTACTCTTGGTAGACACCAACCTAATATTGTTTTGGAGGCTTTAACCATTCAAGGTGATAATAAAGGAATTGCTGAAGGCGGGTACGAAAGCAATTCTGAAGATGAATTTTTGGATATCAGGAATAAAAATAAAGAAAAAGGAAGTAAAATACACAAGGCTAAAAAGGCTCATAAAATGCCCTCTTTCAAGTTTTCTAAACTCAATCGGCTTTCCATGTTTGGACATAAAAAAACGATTACAAAAGATGATGATCACAATTAGGAAGTGTTAATTAACATAAAATATATATCGTCATATTTGCTAAAAATAATTTTAATTAAAATTTATGGTTACATATAAAATAAACATTTTTTGCAATTATTCTTGATTAAAATGTTTTTTTTAAAAAATTTATAAAAATATCTTTTTAATATTTTACGTGTGAAAATGTTAGTACAAATAAAACTACAATTAAACAATTACCTATGGCATCTTCATGCAATTTTGTTTAAGAAATTCGGAAGATTTTTTGTGAAAAATAGGCTAACTCTGTCTTCTGTATTTTGGAAGAACAAAATCGACAATTCTTATATAAGTGTAGTATTCTATCAAATTTAATAATTTACTTTAGTTGAAACCTGAAGTTTGATTTAGGTAACTAAAATAACCACGAATATATTATAAGTTTAATTACGGGGGTACTTGGGATATAATTAAATTTTTTTAAAGTTATTCTAGGAGTTATTTAGGAAAATCTTAAGTTTCAGAAATTTATTAGAACTAATGACTATAAAATATTGAATACAAATGCAAAATTTTAAATGTAAATTAATGATTAAATAAAAGTATACAATCGGCATATGAATCACTATAAAATAAGTGTCTCGAAAAACTTTGCAAAAAGTTTTAAAGTATATAAATTAAAATTTTATTTAAAAAAAAATATTGGAAATATAGACTAATGCACTAAAATATTCTTGAGAATTATTAAATGCATATAAACTTAAAAAGTATTCATAAAAAAAATATGATGTATTATAAAAGGTAATTGGTCAGAAGTGTTCTGAACAAAATGACCAGGACAAAAATATTTCCGGACAACCAATAATACTTTTCGTTATCGAACTACGTGATTCAGACTAAGGCATGATACCGAGATCGTGAACCACGTTAGCATTTATCTTAGGTCTATTCAACAATGATAAGAGTTACTGTTTTTATTAGATGAGGTAAAATACTTATTTTATGACATCAAACCCACTATATTCGGTAAATTTTTGCTTTTACCGAATTATGCGGTTCAGGTTAAAGCCTGATGACGGGCTCATGGACCGCGTTATGATTAGCTTAGGTCTATGTAACAAAGATAAAGGTTAGTATTTATGTTAGATAAGGAAAAATACTAATTTTATTAGACACCAAACCCACTAGATATGGTAAAATCTAAAAGACATTAGGGCTGCTGAGCCAGCGCGAAATAGCCTATAGATTTATTTTAGTTTTTTCCGAACTCGCGGTGCAGTTTAAGGCAGCTAACAAAGATATTTTTTAATGTTTGTATTAGATAATGAGAAATGACATTTTTAGCCCCAGCATCCCTCTCCAATTTTTTAATGTAATTCTAGTCTATATTCTGTGAAATCTAACAGATATTTAAAGCTGTGCAGAATAAATTAATTAAAATTAGAATTCCTAATACTAAGCATTTTAAACAATTTATTTAAATTTGGGTATTTTTGTCCGTTGTCTTTTTGTTCAGAAACTCTATGTCCGTGATTCAATAAAAAATGGGGAAAATATAACTATGAAGCATATTATAAATTTATAATGTGAAATTCCAAATTGTGCTATTTTTTCAATGATTTCATCAGTGCTTGGCGTCAACACCCTGTTTATATTAAAAGGGCCAAGCTGGAGCGTTGGCTCAATTTAAGACGATTTTTTAAAAAGGCTAACTTAATATAAAATATTACGCAAACCAAACCTAAATATTTTTGGAAAATAATATGCCGTCAAGAAAAATTTGAAATAGATATTAATTCATAGAATAAACTACATGTCGTATTTATTTCTGCCAAGAATGTGATAAATTTGGAATATATATGCGATAAGAGATAGGAATGATTATTATGATATATAAATTAATAATCATAAAACAGTAACTTTTTTGAAAAATATTTTAGCCGGTATCTAAACTTTTTGGCTTTGAGGGATTTATCTCCCTACCCCAACCCCCCGCTGCATAAATACCTGTAATAACGCTTTAATGGCTAGATGTATCTTGGATTAGCAAATCTAGAACTAATTTACTATAAATACTTGTAATTCCTTCTCAAATTATAGAAGATGGTCCAAATTGCGATTAATTTAATTGGTATATGAATTTAATTAATGCAAAAAATATTTGGAATGTGAATATGGTGACAAAATAACATTTTTAGCCCTAGCACCCCCCCCCCCTCAAATTTTATAATGTAATTCTAGTTTTAAACCAAAATTAATTGAAATTTCTAATTTTATAAATTGGCATCATCTGAGAAGTAATTTCAAGGATTAATTAAATTCTAAAAATCCTTTGTCATCAACCTTTTCTAATAATAATTTCAATTTAAAAATGACAATTAGTAAATTTTGAAAAAATTTTATTAAGATTTCTGTTAATTTATTTTATAAATACCACAGTAGTGTATTATTAAGAACAAAGGAATAATGGATTAGTTACAAATTTATTTAATTAAAGAAAGAAATCATTTTTAAAAAAAGTTATTGTGTGAATGAAATATAAATCAAATATCTAAAAATATGAATAAATGTTCAAATATCTTGTTGTAATATTGGATTGGAGTTGCTATCCTTCCCATTGTGCAAAATGGCATGTGGTTGCCATACTTGCTTGAAACATTTGTTCTTGCAATAAATGTTGTTGTTGAAAGAGCCATAGTTTTGTAAACTTTGTAGGAATTTTAAAAAATAAAACGAAATAATGTAAAAATTGAAATTGTCATGTTAGGAGCACGATTAAAGTTTTCTATTTGCGCATGGCTTTTTTCTTATAATGTAATGTGTTAATTTTTTTAAAAATTTAGTGTCCCGGTAGTTTAGAGACTATATCAATAAAAACATTTCGTGTTTGAGTTTTTTATGTTTGAAAGTGAGAAACAAATATATAAATCTGTGTTGTAGAATAATCGAGTCGTTACGACTTCGAACTCGAGTCGGAGTAGTTAAAAAATGGCTCAAAATTTGAGCAGCTTTTAAGTCAGATAAAATAGCCTATTTTCGAGTCAGACTATTGAACCGACCAGTTTTTTTAGAATCAATAGTTCTAAAAATGTATTATTTTATACAATATATTTGAGATTTTTTTTTTTTGATTTGTTACAAAATATAATATGAAAATGAAGTATAATGTTATTAAACGGCTAAAAGTAGTCTTAGCCACAATTCAGACCTTCTTTTTTAGTCGAAAAGTCATCTCAGACTTGAGCCGACTAGCGAGCCTGAGTGATGAGTAGGCTTGTTAATTTCTTAGTTCATTTATTCTCAAATTAACCATGTATTTCTAATTCATAATAAATTTATTATTTTATATATTTATCTCCTCTTGCATAGCTAATCCGTGCCCCATTTAATTTACCCCAGCCTGATTCAATCTGATCTGCAGTTTGAGATGACTGTTTGGGACCTATAAAAATAAATATTGTTCTTTGTTAAGTAAAATATTGGCCAGGCCCGTTATCCAAAAAAATATTTATTAACTTAATTTTTCTTTAAAAGAACCTTATCAAAAATAAATCTACTATTCCCATAAATCGTGTCTTGGCTAAATAGACGCCATATCTGTTTGACAACACTATTTCCATTCTTCCTTTCTCCTTCACTAAATATCACCATTAAAAAAATGAATTTAAATATAAAATAATTCAGAGGCGAATGGCAAGAAATACCCAAAATTTATATCGGTTTCTTCGGTAGGCAGTGAGCAAAATATTCCCAGTTGGGTTTTAGATGAAAGAAGAAGGCGTTTTTATCTTCATATCTTTTTTATTGTTACATCATAGTTAGAAATTAGTTTCATATAATTTAATAATTGTTTCATTTTGATATCATATTTTGTTTAAATTATTAAATTTGATGTTAAAATATTTAAGTTTTTAAAATACTAGTCGGCTCAGGAGTGTGGCTCTCGACTCATCTCTATAGTCTGACTGAAGAATTGGTTTATGTGGTGCCGTAAGTCGGAGGCAATTTTTCCATTAAAAACTCGATTGGAGTCGCTGTTTACTCAGTTTAGCCGTTTGACAAGATTATATAATAATTAATCTTTGAAATTATGATTACGTAAGATTAATTCCGCATGTTTTGCACTTGAAACAATTTTTGTGGTAGACATATCTGTTAGCTTCCACCTTCTCCATTTGATAAACATTTTTCCCGCATACATGACATGCTGATGACATTGTTATTTACTAGTTTAATAAACCTAATTAATTTTATGATAAAATAATGGCAATTACAAAATCTCCATAAATCACATGACTCAAAGTGGCTTCATTTTTGGTCACTATATTAGTTAATTTAAATTGTTTGGAAATCACTTGTAAAAATTCCAGGGATGTGAACCCGAACCCTCGTATTTTGGCTGTACCCGAACCCGGACCCTTTTTAAAAGTAGAGGGTTAAGGGTTCTAGGTGTCATAAAAAATTTTAAAAATAAAAATATTTTTTTAAAAAATAATATAAATTTTTTAAAATTTTATTAACTTTTTTTTGTGAAATCATTTATTTTATCTTCGCGTTTTTCTTTCAATTTTCTTCTTGGACTTACATTTTATTTAGAGATTGATATCATAAATTATTTTCTAGTGTAGATAATAATATTTTATTTACAAATTTATTAATATGTTATGTTATAGAAATACGTTGATTATTTTGAAAGTGAAATATTTTGTAGTGCAAGTAATAATATTTTAATTTTAATGATAATGCACAACAGACAACACGTTGGTCCTTAATTTGCATGATGCTAGATACGATTATTAAGTTTGAAAGATTTCTGTAATGATTTTATTATAGGAGCATGTGAAGCATTTTGTCGGAAGATGATTGGTGGCAAATAAAGGACCTTACTAGTGTATTAGTTCCTTTAAAATTAATAATATTAAGATTACAATCAGAACAATTATGTTTATTTGATTTTTATAGCATATGGATTAAATGCCGATTAGATTTAGAAAAATTTACAGTCCTTTTTATACGAAATATTAGAAACAATATTTGCA